ATGAATCACCAGCAATTGGCTGCCAGAGGAGTTAAGCAAAAATAATGAGCTCTTTGTCTCTTTGTTCACTTTCTCACCCACACAGGCCAGTTCTGGGAGGTCAACGCTATTCCTCTTAACTTCTTTATATCTTGATCTATGAAACTGGAGACAAAGATTTAAGATTACGATAATTCTTAATGTTATTAGTAATGGCATCTTACATTGGTATAGTGCTTTGCAGTTTGCAAAAATGCTTTCACATTTTACAAACCACAGGGTTTTAAGGTCTGTGAGATTATAAATTGTGTTTTGCTCACTATTTTTCTCTAATTCCTATCCCAATGCCTGCTATATAATAGATGCTTAACAAATATGTGAATGAGCCTCAAAATAATCTGGTGGGGCAGAGTTGGAAGTTATCACTGTTATTCCCCTTTCATACAAGAAGCAACTAAGCCTCAGAGATTTCATGACTTGCTTAAGGCTTTCTAATACATGCTTTGGGGTGGGGAGGAGAGATGGGATTTTCTGAAAAATAGTCTGGTTTGTGATTACAAAAATTAGGTTCCTTTCCAGTCTGTGGGAGAGAACGCTGAGAGAATGTGGGATTATTGCAAGGAGTTCAGGGATCCACACGCATACCAAGAATTTGTCCACAAAAACTGGACAAAGAAAATGGAGAGAGGGCCTAGCCCCCTTCATACTTTGAGGTTTCTGGGGTAAAGAAATCCCAAACCAAACCCTCAAACATGGCAGCCCATCAAACTGTCTGTGGTGAGAAACTAGAACTAGATCTTGTTCCCCCAATCTGATTTGGACTAATACTTGTAGAAAACACAATAAAATAAATTACTCTTAATTTCTCCACTTATGAAAGACTGGTAACAAAGATTTTACATTCCAGCACTGTCCACAGACCACACCTTGGCTAGATTGGTTTAGATTTTTAACACATTAAAAATATTACAACTATATTTATAATATTTTAGTATAGTCTTTATAAAAATATCAATTCAGGGCTTCCCTGGTGGCACAGTGGTTGAGAGTCTGCCTGCTGATGCAGGGGACACGGGCTTGTGCCCCGGTCCGGGAAGATCCCACATGCCGCAGAGCGGCTGGGCCCGTGAGCCATGGCCGCTGAGCCTGCGCGTCCGGAGCCTGTGCTCCGCAAGGGGAGAGGCCAAAAAAGGAAAGGGCCCGCGACCAAAAAAAAAAAAAAAAAAAAAAAAAAAAAGTCAATTCACTGTGCACTATAGGTGGTGAGAGCCAGTATTGGGACACCAGTTTAACTATGTGTGGTGAACAAATTATTCTTTCAGCCCTGAGATTGTATAAGCTCATTTAGAGATGGCATCAAAAGTCTATATTTCTGGAATCTAAAAAAAAAAAAAAAAAAGTTTATGAAGAACCTAGGGGCAGGACGGGAATACAGAGGCAGACCTACTAGAGAATGGACTTGAGGACATGGGGAGGTGGAAGGGTAAGCTGGGACAAAGTGAGAGAGTGGCATGGACATATATACACTACCAAATGTAAAATAGATAGCTAGTGGGAAGCAGCCACATAGCACAGGGAGATCAGCTCAGTGCTTTGTGACCACCTAGAGGGGTGGGATAGGGAGGGTGGGAGGGAGGGAGACGCAAAAGGGAAGAGATATGGGATATATGTGTATGTATAACTGATTCACTTTGTTAAACAGCAGAAACTAACACACCATTGTAAAGCAACTGTACTGCAATAAAGATGTTTAAAAAAAGAAGTCTATACTTCAGGCACTTTCTTGAGGCATAACATCCAGCTGACCCCTGTAGGAGGCCCTGCTCACACATTTGTGCCCTGTTGTTTTCCACATATGTGAAATGCTGTTGTGATTAATAAAACACAACTTGGGTAACAGCTGTAAGGAAGTTATATTAGCTATTTGATTTTTCTTCCCTCTTCAGTTGGTACTGGAAATATAACTAATATCTTGTCAGAGAATCAACAAAAGTTTGACATTATAAAGAAGTCCTTATACTTGAAATCTTTGGCTAGCACTTCTCCATGTAGACCTTGATGGATTAGGGTGAAGTTTGGCTAATTGTACTAAGTTTGAGGAGTCTCTAACACGAGGACTGTGTTGTCTTACCTGAGGCTCACTGTTAGTTTCCAGAACCCAAGTTTTTCATGAGAGAAAGCAGTGCCCCATTTATTCATTCGATCACACTCAGTGTGCCAGGTACTGGCTTAGGTAGCAGGATAGGGTGTGAACAATGGCCTATCCCCTCAGAAACACCAGGAGGAAGTGAGTGGAGGGTTTGGGTTAGTTCAACAGAGTTCCAGCAGTGGGAGGTAGGGGGAAGAACCAGTGCTCACCTCCAAGCTCCTTCCCTGAAGTGAGATGTGTGAGGCTGGCAGCTGGATTCTGCACCCTCACATAACATACCTGAACAAACTCTTTCAACTCTTGGTACTGGGCCTGGGTGGCCTTTTGTTTAGTGCAAGAGCTGGGCTGAATGCACAGAAATGATAATGATAGGCACTTACATGACTTAAGAACATTGTCCAGCTCTCCAGGCAGGAGTGGAACAGAGCAGAACGTGAGGCTGTAAACTGGCTTCCTTGGCACGAAGCAGCGACATAGAGCATCTCGAGATGATGAGGTTGGCTGGCAGCCTGCAGATTCAGGGGCAGTTTGTGTTCTCGAGACTGGAAAAACCTTTGATTTTTCTGAGTTGAGGAATGGACAATTCTCACGGGAAAATGGGCATTTTTCCTAGTGGGCTCTGGAGACAGGTACAATTTTTGCACTTTTCCCATGTTGGGAAAATTCCTCTAGACCAGTGCTTCTCAAACGTGCGTGAGCATATGAATAACTGAGGGAAATGCAGGTTAGGTTAGGTTGGTCTGGGACAGTGCCTGAAATTCTGTGTTTCCAACAAGCTCCCTCCCGGGTGATGCTGAATTTGCTACAGTATTGCTGGACTGAGGGTGGTGCTCTGAGGAGCAGAGACCTGGAACCCACCTGGTGGCCTGGACCCATGGGAAATGGCCTCACCTGCTTTTGCGGAAGGCATTGACCCCTGTTTCAGACGCAGTTGTATTATCCAGTCATTACATTGTCTGCTGTGGTATTTCCTTCTCTCAAGGATCTTAGGTAGTCTGAGATATTGCTGTAGAGTATATATTGGTTGCTGTGTTTAATCACTAAAAAAAATAATCTTTGTTGTGCATCGGAGTACTAACATCTTCTTCAGGGCACAGTAGCTGTCATACACAATCAAGGTCCCACATCATTACAAGGCATTGCCTTAACCCACATGTCTTGTGTGTCTCGCATATGTTGGGGGTAGTCCACCATAGTAAATTCTGCTTTGGAGAGCTTGGCAATCCAGTCATAAAATGATGAACTCACGTGTTATGTTCAGTGATTTGATCCTGCAGCAGCCTCTCAGATGGATGGGTTGCAGAATAAATCTATGAAAGGAACTATATCCATTGATTATATTCTGGGCATTGAATTTAGCTGTCATCAGATATAGCTTGTCGTTTGAGCCTTCTGGGTTAAAAACAATTACAGAAATCTAAAAACAAGTTCCATTTTGATGTTTTGTTCCCTGTGAGCTACGTCAAATGGGTTCTTTTATAAAGAAAGTAAAGGTTCGAAGCTCATCCAAAATTATACTCAAAAGTGATTTCAGGAAAATGGAGGCTTCATATCACAGTATGTGCTTATAAGCCTCAGTCCTTTGTTCAGTGCGGTGCATCCCAGGCCAGCGTCAACTCCCCAAGCTGGTGGTAGTGGTTTCTAAAGAAAAGATAATCAGGTAGCATAGACCAAACTGATCTTCCAAAATTATTTTTAGTGGATTGGAAGAGTGGCTTCACTTAATGTCTCTGATTTCTTCATTTCTTTTTGTAGGTCACATTCCATCCCTAAAACATTCCATGGGTCTGTCAGCAACTTTGATTGAAGCAGAAAGTTATCAAATGTCCTGATGAGGGCTTGGAAGGGTCTTTGCTCTTAAGGAGTTTTGTTGTAATGGTATTTGTCTTAATCAGATTTGGCTAATACTTCTCTTACTCATAGAGTTTTAGAAGGAAAAATAATCTAGCCAACTGAGAAATCTAGTCCAACCAACTCATTTTACCGATGTGGAAACAGCTGGGGAGTTTGCTCAAGGTCACCCAGACCTGTCTCTGAATCCCAGTCCTGGACTCCCCACCCCAGTCTACCTCAGTGCCTTTCTGTGTTGATTTATGGGTGTGATATGGAGGCTGTGAGGCCTGAGGCAGCAAGTTTTCCACCTTTCCTGGTGGGAGTTGGGGTGTTCTATCTGATACATTCATTGCATTTCCATACCATCCAGACCCTGTGTTCTAGCAGAGTCACAGTCCATTAACCAATGTTCCAGAGAGGCAAAGTGGCGTGGAGCCTGGGTTCTATAGCCTGGTGACCTGGGTCAAATCCTGCTTTGCTCCATACATGCTGTGTGACTTTGGGTAAGCCACTGAGCCTCTCTTCAGATATAAAATGGCACCTTCCTTGCAGGATTGTTGTGAGGACCGAATGAGCAGTTGAAGCAAGCAGCCAGGTGCATTGTATTTGGAATTGTGTGTGGTTTTACAAACTGTGGATCTCTACTAGGTATTGAGTTGTGAAATCAGTGTTCTGAATCATAAATAGCGTTAGAAAAATTAAATGGCATACGCTAGGATAAAATAGAACATAGTAGAGTGTGTTGCACCTAGGCAGGGTATTGTTTGGTATCCTTTTGGTTCCCCTTTTTGGTGTCCCTTTGGTTTTGTGTGTGTGTGTGTTTGTGTGTGTGTGTGTGTGTGTGTGTGTAATGGCTTACAGTATAAAATGAATTTCTCACTGTGGATTGCAGTTAAGAGTTTGGAAGCTCCTGCTCCAGAGAGCAGGGTGAGTGAATTCATCTGTCTTAGCACAGATGTATTCGAGTGAATGAGGCACATTTTAGACATCAATGTACAAGGCAAACTCTGGCTGAAACATAAATGTGCTTCTTTTGCAGAGGGAGACCAAAGGGCAGTTTCTTATTGACCACATCTGCAACTACTACAGCTTGCTGGAGAAGGACTACTTCGGCATTCGTTTTGTGGACCCAGAGAAGCAGCGGGTAAGAGCTGACCACTATCTGGACCCATTTTGGGGGGGTCACTCAGGCTTTGGGGTGCTGAATAGGTTCTTCTCAGAGCAGTTGTGGTGCACTTGTTCTCATGGTTATTGACCACATGAAACTTACCAGCCTGGGTATGTGTTTGCGCACGCACGTGTGTGTGTGTGTGTGTGTGTGTGTGTAGTTGTGTATAAGAATCTGGCACTGTTCCCACTGGACTGAATGACACAGGGGGAAGGGAAACTTAACATTAGGGCTTTCCAGAAAGCTGCTCCCACCTGGTTGAAGAGAGAATGTTCTTGTGCCCTTTGAACCCAGAGTTTGCCAAAGCTTCTCAAACAGTGGCTACATAAAATCTCATTACAGAGAAAATCCACCCCTCACTATAATAAGTTATTGGTAGAGAGAGGAACAAGCGGGTGACTGTTTTAATGGCATGAGGTTTTCTTTTGGGGATGATGAAAATGTTTGAAACGATATAGGTGATAGATATACAACATTGTGAGTGTACTAAATGCCACTGAAGTGTACACTTTAAAATGGTTAATTTTTTTTTATATAAATTTATTTATTTATTTAGGCTGTGTTGGGTCTTCATTTCTGTGTGAGGGCTTTCTCTAGTTGCGGCGAGCAGGGACCACTCTTCATCGCGGTGCGCGGGCCTCTCATTGTCGCGGCCTCTCGTGTTGCGGAGCACAAGCTTCAGCTGCGCAGGCTCAGTAGCTGTGGCTCACGGGCCGAGTTGCTCCACGGCATGTAGGATCTTCCCAGACCAGGGCTCGAACCCATGTCCCCTGCATTGTCAGGCAGATTCTCAACCACTGCGCCACCAGGGAAGCCCTAAAATGGTTAATTTTATGTCATTTTTTAAAAAAGCTTTGGCAGATGATGGGTTAAGATAGTTTGCAAGCTGCTCCTTGGGCGCCACTAAATTTGACAGCCTCCATTGTATTCCTGCTCCTGGACACACCTATCCTTCCTGGTCTCTGTTGATGCATAAGAGTGAGCAGCGGAGTCTTGGCTTTTGAGCCAGTGTACCAGCCTAAGAGTGTTCGGGTATGGCATGTGCTGAACTCACAGTGATGTGTGTCCCTCACGTCAAAAGACCCCAGGAATCTCCATCCCAGCTCCTACCACCTAGGGTTTCTCATTCCTCAACCCTACTGTGGGTCCCAGCTATGGGTTAAAAGGCCCTGTACCTGCTCCAGCCTGTGTTTCTTACCCTGCCCTACTGACAAGCAGGGCAAAGTGTGAAGGGGTTAGCTGGGGATGACTGCCTTCTTTAATTTGCTCTCCTCCTTACCAGTGTCTCTGGTCATCTTGCTGTCCCCTTTTCCCCTCCTCACAACCCCACCTGGTTCTTGGTTTTGTATTTACTGCCTAATACAATGAGGGAGAGACTCACAGAGTGTATTTTTGTAAAGGAGGAGGATGTTGAAGGAATAGATTAATCTTCTGAAACATGGAGAATCTTATTGACCTCTCAGTAGGACCTAATCCTCTATAAAGGGATATAATGCAGTGGCTCAGAAGAAGGAGATTTGGGTTTCCTGTAGCACTTGAGGAAGCCTTGAATGGGCCAAGCATTTATCTGAATGAGAGGAAGGTAGCAGGGCACTATGAGGATGTAGAGCTGACATGAGATCACGGAGGGAATTTGCATGGTGTTTACTACTGAGTAACAGTGATTCCCAGACCTGGCCCTGCAACTAAGTCAGTTTAGGTATTTGCTAAAAATCCTTAGTGTGGACCTTATTCTAGACCTCCTGAATCAGAATTCCTGGGACTAGGGTCAGGAAGATGTATTTTAAGACATCTTGATTCTAATTTTGATGCATTCATCCCAGCTTTGTCTCCTGACCGGTTTGGGGGACCATGGCATAAAGATGTTTATAGACATAATTTCTTATGGCCTATGAATATATTACCCTTGTATGGAGGGAGAAACAGGCTCAAAAACATTGTTACTTGCTCAAGGTCCCACAGGTAGTAAGTGATGCAGTGAGTATTTGAATTTAGAATTATGGTTCAGAGTCCCCATGGCCAAACAGGCTCTATGAACTTTATTAGTCATCTAAGCACGACTGAAAATAGATTATTTTTGTGCAAAATTCTAAAAAGCCACCTGCAGAAGTAACTCTGGCTACCATTAGTTGAGCATTTATTATATGCCAGGGATTTTATCATATGATCTTTAGTGTTCCCCAAAACACTTCAAGGAAGGGGAAACTGAGGCACAGAGAGGGTCAGTGGCTTGCCTATGGCTAGTAATTATAAGAGGAAGGATGGAATCTGAACCCATACTCTTTCCATTTCATCTCTCAGATGAAAATTTGAAACATAGCCTAGACTAGGGATCTGTAAACCCTTTCCGTAAAGGGCTAGATAGAAAATATTTGCAGCTTTGCAACTCAAAAAACTTCTGTTGTAATTACTCAATTATTAATTTCTAGTGGAAAGTGGCCATAGACAATACCTAAATTAATGGATGTGTCTGTGTTCCAATAAAACTTTTTTTCCAGGGCTTCCCTGGGGGCGCAGTGGTTGAGAGTCCGCCTGCCGATGCAGGGGACATAGGTTCATGCGCCAGTCCGGGAAGATCCCACATGCCGTGGGGCGGCTAGGCCCGTGAGCCATGGCCGCTGAGCCTGCGCGTCCAGAGCCTGTGCTCCGCAACGGGAGAGGCCACAACAGTGAGAGGCCCGCGTACCGCAAAACAAACAAACAAAAAACAAAACTTTTTTCCAGTGAAAGTATTTCACAAAAATAGGCAGTCGGCCATAGTTTGCTGACCCTTAGTCTACACAATAGCTGGACACCATTTAAATGCATAAGCCTTTTTCATTCCTCTTGACCCTCTCGTTGGGGAGATACTGGATAAAATATTAAGCAAAGTCTTTAGAATTAGAATCAGGGATATCAATATGAACCCATGTTTTTTAATATACATAGATAAATACAGAAATAAATATAAGGGGTGTGTGTGTGTGAGTGTGTGTGTATTAGGGTGGGGGGTTAGTAAGTATACATATATTTCCAAGTCCCACCTGCTGAGATGACTTAGAGGCAATGACACCACTGTAGTAATAAGTACACCTAGCCTTCAGATCTTGGTTTCAAATACCATGCTCTAATAAAAGGAAGAAGGGCTCCTTGCAGAAAAGGCTGATTCTTGGGCTGGGGTAGTGAAATCACAGGGTGAGCTTGGAGCATCTTGTGGCACCAGGAAGTAAAAAATTACTCAAAAAACAAAATGTAGGGCACTAGGAAAGGCACAGAGCCAATGTGAAAGAACTGCCAATGACCAAAACTGGAACAATTGGAGTTCAAAAACAAGTGACAGGGGGCTTCCCTGGTGGCATAGTGGATAAGAATCCTCCTGCCAATTCAGGGGACATGGGTTCTAGCCCTGGTCCGGGAAATTCCCAAATGCCACGGAGCAACTAAGCCCATGCCCGACAACTACTAAGCCTGCGCTCTAGAGCCTGTGAGCCACAACTATTGAGCCCGTGTGCCACAACTACTGAAGCCTGTGTGCCTAGAGCCTGTGCTCTGCAACAAGAGAAGCCACTGCAACGAGAAGCCCACGCACTGCAACGAAGAGTAGCCTCCGCTCGTTGCGAATAGAGAAAGCCCACGCACAGCAACAAAGACCCAATGCAGCCAAAATTAATTAATTAATTAAAAAAAATAACAATAGCGTTGGATTATAATCCATAGAATGAAATAAATATCAATGAGACTATACTGATATAAATAAATAACTGCATAAATAAATAAAAGGGGGAGAAGAGGCAGCTCTTCCTTACAGAAGAATTCCAATTAATTATTGTAGGGGGAATGAGAGAAATAGAAGTCTCCCATTAGAGCGCCAGAATAATAATTGTTGTGGGCAAGATCGATCAATGAATGCTAAAATTAATGGGCAACAGTTTGAGGAGAAGCAGGATATTTGCACAGTCTCAGGGAATCCTCTTCCCTCCTGCCCTGAGCCTGGTATTTTTTTTTTAATGTTTTTTGTTTGTTTGTTTGTTTTATTTTTGGCTGCATTGGGTCTTTGTTGCTGCATGCAGGCTTTCTCTAGTTGCGGGGAGCAGGGGCTACTCTTTGTTGTGGTGTGCGGGCTTCTCGTTTCAGTGGCTTCTCTTGTTGCAGAGCACAGGCTCTAGGCACATGGGCTTCAGTAGTTGTGGCACACGGGCTTCAGTAGTTGTGGCACATGGGCTTAGTTGCTCCGCAGCATTTGGGATCTTCCCGGACCAGGGCTCGAACCCGTGTCCCCTGCATTGGCAGGTGGGTTCTTAACCACTGCGCCACGAGGGAAGCCCAAGCCTGGTGTTTTTAAATTATTGAAACAAGGGGAAAAAGAATAACTTTATAGTGGAAAGACTTGGCAGACACCACTTTAACCAAGCAATCAGGGTTAATATCAGCAATAGAAAGAAATACCAATGTCATGGACTCCCCCATACCATGCACTGAGAAGGGCACTCTGTCTCTGTGGTATCCTTCGCAACAATGTATAACCCCATTCAAATCTGGAGGGAACATCAGAGAAACTAAAGGGAGAGACATTCTCCAAAACAACTTACCAGTACTTTTCAAAACTGTTCAGGTCATGAAGGACAAGAAAAGATTGGGGAACTCTCACAGATTAGAGAGATGCATCAACTAAGGTAATATGGAATCCTGGATTGGGTGCTGGAACCGAGAAAAGTGTAGTAGTTGGGAAAACTGGTGAATTTCAGATTAAGTCTGTAGTTTAGTTAATAGTATTGGGTTAATATTAGTTTCTTAATTTTGATAATTGCTCATGGCTATATAAGACGCTAATACTAAGGTAGATGAGTTATGCTATTTTTGCAACTTTTCTATATGTCTAAAATTATTTTTTTAACTTAAGCCTCTGGGTTGATATGCTTCATTGTTCTTTATATTTTGACTTGGTTTACCTTAATTTTTAGTGTCCAGACTCAGGTAGTAGATTAGTGGAAAAAATA